GGCGCGGGGCTGCGGGGTCCCCGCGCTGCTGCGGAGCGCGGGCGGGACGGCGTCGGGGGCGACGGGAGCGCCGGAGCCGGGCGAGGTTGCTGGTCGCTCGCTCGGGCCGGGAGACGAGCGACGGGGTCGGGCTGGGAGTCGCCGCGGAGCGCAGACCGCTGGGGAGTCGGTGCGCGTGGGGTAGAGCTCTGGAGCCGCGCTGAGAGCCGCTTGGCTGCCTGGGTCCCCGCTCGGCGACACCGGGGACCCCTCCACCCCCCACCCCCAAAAGGTTCAGCCACCGCCGCCTTCCGAGGCCGGATTGATAGTGATCCCGCGCCCGGGGCTGGGTGGCCCGGGCAGCGGCCTCCGAAAAGCTCATTAGCGCCAGCAGTTGTCATAGCAACGAGACCCCAGCGTCTCCGGGTTCTATTTATTCTAATTATTATTATCATTATTAGTGTTAGTATTTCTTATCCGGCCAGAGGGAAAAAGAAAGGAAAGGGGGCGCGCATCCTGGCGCCTCCAACTGTTCTCTCCTTGGAAGGAGCAGCGCCTACTGCCTGATGGGCCGAGCGGAGTCTGGTTCTTGATAGGGTCCCCCAGACTAGGGTCCCTGAGTGGATGCTGAACTGGGTGATTACTACCCAGGTCAGACCCCCGGGGCCACGGAGTGCCAGGGAACCAGAGTTACATAATTTGTCCCGAGGGTATTTACATACAAGCATCTTTGTGTCCCCCCAACCTCGGACTTTTCTGTGTTTTCTAGTCCCCCGGGCTTAGTGGGCGCTCCTGCCAGGGAACCCCAGCCTGGCATAGGAAGACGAAAGTGCCTTGAGTGGGAAACTACAGGGACCTCTCTTGAGGCTGTGACCTTGAGCAGGGCTCTCAACTCCTCTGAGCCCATCTCCCCCCTCGTCTGCAAGGTAGAAGGGGAGTGGTTCCCGTCAGCCGAGGCTGCTGGAACCCGGAGAGCAAGCCTGGTGAAGTTCCTGTGAACAGCGATGCCGTGTGACCCCAAGCCTGTCTCTGGACCCGTCTCCCAGATGCTAAGATGACTTGGTCACTGACACTCTAACTATCAATACTGGCGAGCCTGCAAGCTGGGCTCCACCCAGAACCAGACAACCCAGAAGTTAGCCCATTCTGTCCCTCTTTGTTCTCATTTTATTCTAACTGCCTAAAGGTGCCTGGGAACCTTTGAGACGTCTACCTTCTGTCCCCCTGTGGGGGCTGATTGGAAATGCCTGTCAGAACAGACTCTGAGACCAGACTTTGGTCCCTGGTATCAACCCAGGCTGGTCAGGGCTGGTCCAGAACCTAGGTTTTCCTCCCTAGATCAATCCTTCTTTCCCTGACGGCAGGGCTGCCTGCTGGGCCTGTCCTGGTGGAAGAAGAGCTGGTTAGAAAGTTCTGTTGCCCAGCAGCCCCTGTGCCTCAGTGCTCAAGCTGAGCCCAAAGCATCTGATCAGGATTTTTTTTTTTAAATTTTGTTTTAGTTTAGTTGTTTTGTTTTGTTGGAACATGCTTCCACGCTGGAGCCCAGGATGGCCTGGAACTCATGATGTCGCTCAGGATAGCTTCAGATTCATTGCACCCCTCCCGCGCTTCAGCAGCCAAAGGGCTTGGATTTACTGGCTGGAGCTACCACTGCCTCCCAGCCGGGATGGGGGTGGGGTTGCAGTTGGGTGTGGGTGGGGTGGGGGATGGTAGCATTAACCTCATAGTCACGCCGGGTCCCAGTGCTGACTCAGGCCTCTATCAGGGCAGGCACAGAACTATAGACCGGGAGGGAGAGAGGAATGCTTCTGGACCAGCCACTCTGCTGTCCTGGAGGTAGCTGGGCTGGAAAGAGGGGCATGGTTGAGGCTGGGGGGCTGTTCTGCTTGCTCAGCCCTTCACACAGGCGAGGGAAAAGAAAGGGGTTGGGACCTGTCCAGAAGGAAAGCAGCTGAGAGCCACTCCCCGATCACCTGTCATCCATCTGTCCACCTACTGTTTGCACACTGCCCTTCTCTACTGGCCCCATGCCTGGGCCTCGATGGCTCTCAGGGAAGCAGCTGAGGAGCCATTTGATCATGGGGCACAAGAGGTAGGCACACGGGAGAGGGCAGGGTTGAGAGATTTGTGGATCAGCTAGAAGGGAGAGAAACTCTCCATTGTGAAGTTGCAGACAGTGGGGAGGGGACAGACCCTCCTTGGCTGGGACGGCAGAGGAGGTGGCAGGGCCCTAGCAACAGACGCCCCTATCTTCAGCCTGGGAATGGAGGTAGGGAGTAGGGGGTGGTCGGTGAGGAGTAAAGCTCCCCAGGTCTCCCCCACCCCGAGGCTCCCAAAGGGGGGCACGGAAGAGAGGTGTAGAGAGGAAGGAATGTGTCCCTCTGGCACAACTGTAGCCCTTGGCCGGCCCCACTCCTGCTGCCTGGGGCCTGGCTTCTGGGGGAAGGTGGCAGGTGGGCTCCAGGCTTGGCTGTGTCAGCTGCCTGCGTGCCTGCAGGAAGGGACTTCGCTGACACAGACTCTAAGCTGCGCCCGAAGTGGTGGGATTCCATGAGGCAGGCGGCACGCAGGACCATTGTTTGGAGCAGAGCCGTCTCCTGAATTCTCACACCAGCCCTCGAGGGTACATTTGCTGGTTCTTCTGGAGGACCAGGCGTGGGAGAGGCTGCTGCTGAGAGCTCAGCAGGCACCCTGCTACTGAGGACCAGGCCACATTGCCTAGAACCCAGCCTTTGACCCTCCGGGAGAGGAAGGAGTTGGATCTGCAGGTGCTGTAATGACCACTGGGGGTCTTCTTGCAAGTATCGTCCTGCTAGCTTTCCTCAGGGTGGTCTCAGAATGTGTCTCTGCCTGTGCTCTGCCTCTGTTAATTCATCCTCCATGGCTGCGGGCACTCCCTGAGCATAGTAGGGCCTTGTTCTCAGCCACCGTCCTGTACAGTAGGTTCTGGAAGCTCAGCAGCAGGTGTGAGTGAGGAGGTTGTCCTGCCTGTGCTGGGTCACACCTCCTTGATGCCTTGTGTGTCTCCTGCCCTGTGGGTGCTGCTGTACAGGCCTGGTGAATGAGGTCCTGTCTCTTCCTCCTCCTCTCTTCCGCCCTTCCCTCCTTCCAGCAGGCTCATCGCATTCCAGGGCCCCTTACTATGGCTGCTGTTAGATGGGAGGGTGGCAAGGACCTTGCACCTGCTCAGACTTACCCCTAGGAAGCTCCATCTAGATGCGACCAGGGCCAAGCCCTCGTTTAGCATTGGCTGTCTAAATAGACCATCTCCAAATGGGCTTGGGCTGTCCCAGCTGCCCTGGTCCTGCTGATGTTGCCCCATAGACACACAGCACAGTCCATTCCCTTCCTTTGATGGTATTCAGTGTCCTCCTCTGGGTGTCTTGATTTAGCCTGTCCCTGGCAGGTTGCGGACATCTTGGCTTGGAAAGTGCTGGAGGCACCAACGATTGTAGCCTGTGAACACCTCTCTCCATAGTCTGTATTGGACACAGATGTGGACACTGGGGACTGTGAGTGGATAGGGAATGTCCCCAGGAGGTATTTGAGAGCCAAGGTTATCTAGCCAGTGATGGTGGGTGTCACTCAGGGCCTGGGGGAGGGGTGCAGATGCTTCACAACAGATGAACTTTCTCTACCCCCACCCCCAGGCCAGCTCCTGAGAGTCACCTCTTTAATCCCTTCCCTGGCCATGTGAACACTCATCATCCATCTGTGTTTTCAAGTCAGCCTCAATGAATAGGGCATATAGGTCACCATGCACCCAGCACCCTGCTCTCACCCTCCTGTGAGGGTGCTGGGAGCTACCTGCACAGCTGACCTCAGCAGACCCGGGGTACACACACCTTGGAGAATAGAGATATAGCCCTGGCGTGTCTCAAATCACACCCATTTAACAGTGAATTAAGTTCTGTGAGCCCTGGGAGAGAGAGAGAGAGAAAAAAAAAATATTTTTGTTGTTCACACTTCCCTGGAAAACAAGACCAATCATGGTCTCTTAAAAGCCAGTTTCCTAATCTGCTTATTCCTGCCTGGCGGCCTCTCAGGAATGGGCGGAGGGAAGGCTGGAGGAGGGACATGGCTGACCTGGCTGAGAGCCCTGCCCTCTCAGCAGTGTGGGGCTGGTGAAGTTGGACTCCCGTGCCAGGTCCCGAAGCTCCGGATGCCCGAGGGGTTCCTGATAAATTGCCATTTTCTTGGACATCAGCACTCACTGAAGGCAGGTTCCTTCCAGCATCTCGTCCAGCACGCTTGCTCCCAGGCGTGCTTCAGCAGTGACGGGGACTGCTTCGCGGAGGCTTGTGGGCAACCTGCAGCTGGAACCCAGCTGAGAACAAGCGTAGTTAGTGTTCATTCACTCCCAGCTCCCGGAGCACCCTGCATGCTGCTGCTCGCTCTGAGCCAGGCTCCGGGCGGCGGAGAGAAGTTGACCCCTTTGCCCTGCTGTGCTGCACAGACCGGAGGAGGAACAGAGGTACCTGAGGAGGGCCAGGAGGGCTGTTGGAAAAGGGAGCTTCAGCTGGCATCTTGAAGGGTGTGCAGGCGTAATGCCCAGCAGAGGAGGCAAGGGACGCTTCCAGAAGGAATGATGTATGTCCCACAGAGACCTGGCCCCAAAGTGACATCTCCAGGTTTGAATACATTTCCTTTGTTACATTGTAGCCTGACATGTGTCTTTTTCCTAGACCTTTGTGCCCATTGTCACCCATCACACAGATCTTTGATTCTCTAAAGAGAGCTCAGCCCCCGGGAGCAGGCAGGAAGGTGGCCAGATCCGACATAACCTGGATGGAGTGGGCTCTGTGTGGGTTGGGGGCAGCAGAGAGGCTGTTGCTGTTACCGAAAGTCAATACTGAACTAAAGAGCTTCAGACGCTGCTGGCTCTAGAGCCTTCCCTCCTCAGCTGTGGCAGGGCCTGGGCTTCAGGACATGGGGCTTGGGTCTGCCTAAGCCCACTGCATGCTCTGAGCCCCATTTTCTGCACATCTGGAAACAGGCAGATGGAGCCTTTGTAAGTCTGTGGACAGGTTAGCATCAGGGCCCACCCCATCAGCACGGCAGGAAGCCCACAGCCCCATCATCTTGTTTGTGCTGCTGTGATGTTTAGATGGCTCAGGCTTCCGGGAGCAGGTCCGGAATGTGACATCGCTGGGTGTAACTGCCTGGAATCGGAGCCCTTTTGGGACTGAGCCCAGCTGCTGTGCTGGGGCCTGTCACCAAGGCAACGAGCCCTGGGAGTCACAGAAGCTATACTGGGCTCCATGCTGGACAAATCTGTCTTCTGCATGCTATCCATTGGGGGACCTTGGGTAAGTTAATGGTCCTACAGCCTCAGTTTCCTCACCTGAGAAATGGGTGACTGTTTAGGATGCATTTGTTGCTGCCTTCAGGGCCCAGCCAGCTCTCTCAGAAGCACCACTCTGTGATATAAACTGTTAGTCTGTAGCCTTTGCTGCCTCAACATTCCCGGGAGACCCGGAAAAAGCAAATGCATGGTGCCCCTGCACCAGGGGTATCCATAATGGAAGTTGTCACTGGGAAGATGCTGAAGCCCAATGTCATGTCCCAGTACCATAGCAACTGCTGAGCATGGGGTAAAGAGGCAGTGATGGCCTCAGCAGTCAGGGGCCTTATGCTTCCTTCTGAGCTCCAGTGGCTTCAAAGCTTGGTGGACCTGAATGAACACAATGACAGCTGTGGAGAGGATGAAGGCAGGGGCTGTGGTATTCTGGGCACGCCACCAGTCCCACCGTTGGCACCTCTGTCCTACCCCAATTCTGACTCCTCTCTGATCCCCAGGTTCCTTCCTCTCAGGGTTCTTGTAGGATTTAGGTGAGCCTTGTATAAGGTCAATGCTCAGCGCACACTGTCACGGCATGACATATATACTTTTCACTTCTGCTTAGGCCTAGCATGTTAGACAGGCTTGCTCTGTTGGAAGGGAGAGAGGGATGGCCAAGTGAATGGGATGGATGGATGGATGGATGGATGGATGGATGGATGGATGGATGAATCATGGCAGGGGAAGCACCACAGCTTCATGACAGGGCAGCCTAGGAAAACTTCAAAAGTCTAGCTCAGAAGTGGCACTCTCCTGTCTCTCTTCCCACCACTAATTTGTTGACTGGATTGGTGGCCCAACATGAGGCACAGGTTCTTTGGTGTCTCAGAGTTTGGTCCTGTAGCTGGGCAGAGCCACATTCAGCTTGAATTTCCTTCCTCCCCACCACCTTGGAGCGTCCTGACTGTTTTCTTCCCATCATGCAACGGACCACCTTGTGCTGTCACTGCTCAGAGTCCTGGGAGCAGAGACACCATGTTCGAAGGGCACCTGCCGCCTGTAAGGGAACAAAATCAGAGGAGGAGCCTGGGCTCAGAGCTGCAGTGATGAGAGCATACGAGGCTTAGGAGCATCATGGCACAGCAGTGAGTGCCACACAGTCCCCGATGCCAGTTCTTCTCAAGAGCCCACGGCACAGAGCAGAGAAGAGATGGCAGAAGTCAGGGATGCTGAAAAGCAGCCACAGGGAACTGGGCAACCTAGCCAGGTCTCCAGGAGACCCTCCCTTCCTCCTGACCACAGCTCTATCCTGCCACAGCACCCTCTTTCAGGTTCATGGTAGGTCCTAGCAGAGGTCTTTCTAAAGCAGGACTCACCAGAGCCTAGCCAGTTTCCCTCTCCCACTGTGGGAGAAGAATTCTTGGTTGGCAGGGAAAGGAAGGGAGAATGGTGTCCGACATGCACCCACCCCTCAGTGTGGTGGCTTCACTTGCTGACCTTTTCCCTCTCTGCTTCAGTTTCCCTCTTTGTGAAGTGGGTCCACGTCGGTTTGCTGAGGGCGCAGGGTCCATTCCTTACCTCCTGTTACCTAAATGTCTAGGACAGCAAGAGAGGGCAGCTATCCCAGGGAAGGGATGGGCCTGCAGAAGAGGCTCAGAACCCTGCTCTGTGTGGTTCTGGCTTTGTCTAGGGTGTAAGACAGACAAGGAAGTACTGTAACACAAAAGCCTGGTTTCTATGCTACAAGCCTTCGAGGAAACAGGACTGGGCAGCTCAGTTGTCCTGTGTGCCATAAGTTCTGATCTGACTGACCTCTAGGATTTGCCCAACAGGATCGGAGCCTCTGGTGGGGCCGGGACAGTCACCTTCTCTTCTCTGGGGTGTGACTGCTTTATGAGGAGATTCACAGATATTTGGGCACACTGATATGGAGCAACTCTGTCTGGCAAGGGGTGGGAGCCTCAAAGAGGCCTGCCTGGAGGAGGTTGCAACCCAGGTGCTGAAGAGGCTAGAAAGGCAAAAGGAGCAGCAGTTAGAGTCCTGAGGAATGACTTTGACACACTGTCCACATCGTAGCCTGGCTACCCCACAGCACCCATGTAAAACTGAATAGAGGCAGGGGCCATAGGATTCCTACCCCCGCCCATGAAGGTACAGCATGGAGTTCTAGTTTTACCCTGTAGACTTAGAATGACACGAATGTCACCACCGCCTACTGCTGTGCCCGAAACAGACATTACTAATCAACCCATCATAGCAGAACAGGTAACCCAGTCCTCTATGCAATATGGTCCTGTTAGTCCCTAAAAGAGGGTGCATAGCTACCCTGCCTGCTGTGGGTATTGGGACCACAGAGCTGACAGAGTCCTTTGTGTCTATGCTCAGCTCCACACCTACAGTGCTCTTCTGGACAAGGGTGTTGGAGGGTGTGGCTCCATGGCCCCAAGCTGCCTGGAGGGTCCTGCCCTTCCTAGGGAAGCAGAATATATACCACCAGGAACATCATATCATTATGGATCCCTAGGCAGGGGTTCCCCTGTGGGGTACAGACCCTTCCCTTCTGGAGCCAGTCCCTCACCTGTCCCCTGCAGGTCCCAGGTCCCAGGATGAGCCCAGGACCAGCCTTGGTAGTCCATCTAAGCCCTGGCTAAAAGTGGAGAGGGAGAGAATGTCACCAGGAGAGAGACCAGCCAAAGGCGCTCGACTTCTCTCCTGAAATCCAAACAATCGGACAATCTGTTCGGGATCGATTTAGAAGCAGCAGAGTGAAAAAAAAAAATCAGCAAATACAGTGTGAAAGCTATTTTCTCTCCCTCCGGCGCGGCTGGGAAGCGGCTGGGCTGGAGTTTATTTGTGACCTGGCCAAGGCTAGTCAGACCTTCCCCTCCCCATAACCTGCTCATGCCCCCCCCCCCCCCCCCCCCCCGCCCCCCCCCCTACACCCACTTCCAGCTGAACACCTAGGGGGTTCTCTGCGGCGTTACCCTCCTTCAGCCTTGGGAGCCAACACTGGCAGGGGCCCCAGAGGACAGCCCCAAGGCACCTGGAGGGGTAGCTCCCAGAAAAAGCAGATCCCCTGCCGCTCCACTGGGCTGAGGCCCTGTACTCCAGGGACTCAGGATGGCACATGCCCCCAAGAGTAATCCAGCATGTTTCCCTAGGCCCTGGGATTGGGGTGGGGGCTATGTAGTAATTGTTTAGTAAAGGGCTCTAATCTGAATGGTGAGTGGAAGGGCAAGGGTAGGGAAGGAGAAACAAAACAAAACAAAACAAACAAACAAAAAAAAAACAAAAACAAAAATGAGCCTTTGATTCAAGTGCCCCACTCCTGGTCATGCTATTCCTGGTGGAGGTGGCCCAGCCAGCCTCCATTGCCTGAGGTCCAGGAGGTAGGCCTGGAAGGTTGAGACCCTGCATTTCTGTGACCACCTTCTTGGCCAGGCCCATGGGGCATCATACTCCTCATTGTCCCACAGCCGGACTCTGAGCCACGAGCTAATTATTTTAAAGTGACAGACTGAATACGGAGCCAGAGCAGGCCAGAAAGCTGACATTTTCCCTGCGGCCTTTCCCACCAAGGGGTCTCAAGGGCTGTTAGGGATGTGTCTGTAGGTGACTATAGGCACCTCTGGGCAGTGGGAACGCCAGTGGCTCAAATGCTCCTGCTCTTTCTTTGGTCACAGGGATGGGAGGGGACTCCTGGTTGGTTCAGGGACTGGCAGCTCTCTCCCCTAAACTCCGTTTTTTCGCTGAACTCCAAGGCCGAGAGCCAAAGCTCAGAAAGATTCTGGACGGTGGAGATCAGACAAGCTTAGGGCTAAGTCCCAGGAGCTCCGCTGCTGGCACAGCATCTCTCTGGGCTTAGTTTTCTCTTCTGAGAACTGAGAGCAGGCCCCCTCTTTTGAATATTTCAGGCGTCAAGGAGCTGGGCGCAGAGTAGGTGCTCAGGACAGTCTTGCCCTCCTGGTTCCACTGCGTGGAAGCAGTTAAACCCTCTGTTTAGACTCTGACTCTATGGATTCTAGTCCCTGGGACGAGGGCTGGGGGATGCGGTGATGGGGGAAGGAGGTCCCCCAGATGACAAAAGGATTAACGTCAGAGCACAGGGAACTCTTCAGCCCCAAGTATCTGAGTTCCCACCCTGAGCCACTCGGGAATCATGAGGATGGGTCTGGATTGGCTGGAGGCAGTATAGAGATAGCCCCATACCAGGAAGTCTGAAACTCCAGTTCTCATCTGCCACAGGGTGTGTGACACCCCCCCCCCCAAAAGAGGCGATGTCTCGGATCAGGCCTGTGTCCTCCTCTGAAGCTCACAAGTGGCCCTATCCGCTCCTAGCCGTCCTTGAGC